CAGCCATACAACAGTTACAGTTTTCTCACAACTTGTCACTTTACATTTTATTTCAAGCTAAAATGTATTAAAAAATCAAAAGGGCTGCAGCTCAAATGGATTCAGTTTTCTCTCCATCATTTGTCTCAAGTTCTCCATGAAGGATTGTATATCACCCATCACCTTTTATGCCAAAGTTTTAGACTAAGATCATCTTATGTTGAGAAATGACAGAGTTTAAAGTGGTTTTGTTCAAATCTTGAAGTTGTTTTTGTGTTTAAGGTCAATTAGTTTTGATCTTGAATTTTTGCCCCTCGTCGCAGAGCAAAAAAGAATTGGAAATACTCTCAGTCTATAGCTCTGTATGTAAACCGACCACCCCTATCATTTAAGGAAACTATGCTTTCTAGTTTTTGTATTGCTTAAAAGTATAGTTTCATCAAGTAATTGGGATGCCTGAATCAGAATCAGAATAAGCTTTATTATCATTGTACCGAAATACAGTGAGATTATGTTCGTACAGTCATCTGAAAGATGGGCAGAGTGCACGTTGCCGCTGCTACTGGAGCGCAGCCCCTTATCCTTTTTCAGAATAGGTTTTAGATAGAAAAGTGGAAAAAGCCATGAGGATAGGATAGTGGCATTACAAAAATAGATCTATTCACACCTTGTCCTATCAGGGCATGATTTAAGACATCAAAAAAATAAAAAATAAACCTCTACCAGCAACATTTATAAACGCATTACATATGCATTTGACGACAAGATGATGAGATTTGTCCATGAAGCACTTCCAGATAGACCATAGTCCTGATAAGATGTTGGTGTCAGCCGGCACAGTTCTGATAAACCTGCACAGATGTTTTTGGGGTGGGGGGTATGCGATAGACTGAGCTTTTCCTTAGTTTACACATATCCCAGGAGAAATTTGATAAGTCAGCCTGCTTCTGAGGCCAACTGGGGGAGTCAGATTCAGATTAGCCACAATTGTTGATTTTTTTTTTCAGGCAGACTGTTTTTTTCTTGTCAGTCTTGAGTCCTACTGGTACTTTCAAGATCCAAAATGGCCAGATTAGTGGGTATTCCACTGGTCCGTGCTTATGAGCTCCTTCCAAAGTCGTCTCCAACATAGTGGCGAGTCCCAGAAGCTGCAGGTGGCCTACAATTCTCACAAATCACTTCCATCTTACGGTTTAGCTTGTAAACCAGCTGATTTTGAGTACTTAAAGCACGAACCAAACTTTCACACAGACTCTGCAGTTTGGCATTGCTGAAACTCCTGCCGCTGTCTTCCTTAATACCCGAGAACATAGGAATCTGTCGATGCCAAAAAGCAAAAACCTTGCTATCATGAATCCAATTATGTAAATCTTCAGCGTACTCCTGAGACAAAACGGAAAGACATGAGCTCCCAATACATTACATATCCTGCTACATGAGTCTCAGTGGGGCATGAGGGCTCTCCAGGACCCTGACGCTTTGTTGAAAAGATTTTTTAGATTGCGTTGAAAGTCCAGCTGACCAGATCCATGACACTAGTTTTCCTTTTGGAAGATATGTATATAGGAGCTCCGATACACAGACAAAGAACAAAAAAGCAGGAGGAGAACAGGAGAGGGAGAGAAAAGGCATCTGCCTTGCACGAAAGTGGGTGCAGAATCAATGAAGATTAATCTATGGTGGTTAAGGCCACCATCCCCCCCAAAAGTTGTTCCCAAAAGTTAATTTTATTGTGTAAGCACATCCACTGATTATGTTCTGAGAGTTTCATTAAAATTTGTCTTCTGGTTCATGAGAAATTTTACTAACAATGAACACAGCCACACAAGTAAAAGCATTACTACCTGACTTTTGTTGTTGGGCAATAAAGATGTGATCGTGGATTAAACCAAATAGGAGATAAGTTTGAACCGAGCTGTTATCATTTATGATTATGTTGTGGTTTTGTTGTTTTCTCACTGATTAAAGCAGCAGAGATGGTGACAGATGCACCTGGAATAAATGAACCTACGTTAGATGGGAGTTCTGTTTTCTTCACAGCCACTGATTAGATGACAAGTCTTGGAAAATATGACATCTTGTTGTGTTGTTTTGAATGCTGCCTGTTGATCAATACATTTAATCTACAGCACCACCTGGAAGAGGCTGGACCTTATTTTTCGCAGTACTGGATCACAGAATTTGCAGGAGTTGTGGAGCGCATTAATGGAAGTCACGGAGCGGCTCCAATGCGTCATCATTTAAAGAGCATGTGCAAGACTGAACACCTGCTATCTATACTGCATTTTCTAGAAGTCAGCTTTACCTTTTCAGGGTGTGTTTAATTTGACATCTTAAGGAGCACTAGCATAGCACCCACCTCCGCTCCTTACACCGTACAGCTGACCTCAGCACAGTCACAGCATGGAAGAGTTACAGAACAAGCATTGGGACTTGGAGGAAAAATGTCCCAGGCTGAGGCGTTAAATCTATGTTGTTCAAAATTAGTTGTCTGTGCAACTTTCTCATTAAAGTTGCCAAAAATTTCAGCAGGGGTCTTTATGTCTGGAGTTTGCATGTTCATCTCAAAACATGAGTGGGTTTTCTCCAGGTACTCCAGCTTCACCCCATTGTTTAAAAATGGCTCCAGTTTAGTCTGTAAATACACCCAGGTGGATTTTTGCAGCTTTGATCGCCACATACATTAATATAGATTATTAAGTACAATGTAAAAAAAAAAGTAAGTTTTACTTGTTATTACTGATTATTAGATCTGGGCATTTAGAGCCCAGGATATTTTCTAAATAACTCTGGATTTCAAGTTAAAAGAAATTTAAAAATAGCTTTATTCAATTCAAGCATTATGCGACAGTTTAACTTGTTTTTCCATAAAAACTCGAGCACGTTAAGTCGTGCTTTCTCTGCTCTTCATACAAGCAGCAAAACAAAACATCATGCACTGTTGAGTCTGCACCTGGGAGGGAATACGTGCGTCCTAACAGAGTTGACTTGAAATAAAGCTCAGATATTTTTGTGCAGGGGTACAAACCCTGAGATGATGTGCATTGGTTGGTACTTAATGTGAACCACTAGGTTTGAGTTGACCATCATCCTCCAAAATCCTGCTCGTTAGGTTCACTGGTGATTTCAGATTAGACTCAGATGTGAGCGTCAGGTGTTCTGAGTGTTTCTGGCTGACCTGTTGCAGATGTAGCACCTGTCGACTGCTGCAGCAGCTGACAGCTCAGCCCAACCCACAGTCAAGTCTGACATCTGCAATAGGGTCAAGGATCAGTAAATTAAAGAGTTGTCAGAAGGGTCGATCATAATTCAATTCAATCCAGTGTATTAATATAGCTCCAAGTCACAACAAAGTTGTCTCAGGGCACTTTACAGGAACATTCACATAAAAGCCAATTAGTAAAGTTCTCTATCTAAGGAATCCAGCAGACAAGATGAATCTTGGCTTCGTTGCAGTCTCCCATCCTGAGCAAGCACAGTAGCAACAGTGGAAAGAAAAAACTCCCTTTTAAAAGGAAGAAACCTCCAGCAGAACCAGGATCAGGACAAGCGGCCATCTGCTTTGACCGGCTGGTTGAGAGGACAGGAAGGAGAGACAGACGAACACAGAATGGTAGGTCCAGGTGTAGGTTCAGGTATAGGTCCAGGTGTAGGTCCAGGTGTATCTGAAAGACCAATAAAAACACATGTTGAGGATAGAAAAAATAATTACAGTCTAAGCCTATAGCAGCATAACTAAGGGACAGCTCAGGAAACCCAAGCCGATCCTAACTATGAGTTATCAAAAAGGAAAGTCTTAAGCCTAGTTTTAAAACTGGATCATGTGTCAGCCTCATGGACACATTGGAAGTTGGTTCCACAAGAGAGGAGCCTGATAACTAAAAGATCTTCCTCCCTTTCTGCTTCTGGAAACTCTAGGAAACACAAGTAAACCTGCAGTCTGAAAGTGAAATGCTCCGTTAGGAAAATATGGAACAATAAGATCTGTAATATAAGATGGAGCTAGGTTGTTGAGAGCTTTGTAGGTTAGAAGTAAGATTTTGAATTTTATTCTGAATTTGACAGGGAGCCAATGGAGAGAAGCTAAAACTAGAGAAATATGATCTCTCCTGTCAACTCTCATTAAAACTCTGTCAGCAGCATTTTGGATGAGCTGACAATTTTTTAAAGAAGTATTTGGACACCCAGATAATAAACCATTGCAATAGTCCAGTCTAGATGTGACAAATGCATGGACCAGTTTTTCTGCATCATTTTTAGATAAGATGTTTCTAATTCTAGTGATAGTACGCAGATGGAAGAAGGCAGTTCTAGTAACGTTTTTAAAGGTGTAAGAAAGGTTTTTTTTTTTCAAAAATTGGGTTTGTCAAGTCAAAATCCAAGATGGCTGCTGCCATGTATACTGTATATCAGACTCAGAATGCTTTTATTATCCTTTGCACAGTGAAGTACAACAAAATTACTTTCCGTACAGCCGTCTAAAGATGGACAGAAGTGTACAGGGGGCCGCAGCTTCAAAGATGCGCTGCCCTTATTATAAATTATATAAATTATATGATATGTAAACCAGCCACATTTATCATTTGAGGAAACTGTTTTCTATTTTTATATTGCTTAAAAGTTCAGTTCTCTCAAGTGATTGGGGTTGCTGAAGATTATTTTATGGTGACCAAGGCCACCATTGGCCACCCCCTGGCTCCTCCATTGCATCTGGTGGAGGATAAAATTGCTCCCTCCACTCTCCAGGATTCATCACTCTGCAGTGTCTCAGGCAAGAAATGACAAACCTCTCCTCCGTTCTTCTCCACAGTGCAACTCCTACTCATTTAAATATCTTGCACCAAAAACATTAAGGTTTACTTCATTCCCTGTTCAGTTCCAGTCCAGGAAAACACTTGTCTCTTACTTCTGCAGTAAAAGGGACAAACTGATGTAATTTCTCTTTGGGCAACACAAATATCTTTTTATTAATGCGTATTTTATTGAACATGAATGTTTGTGCTCTGCTTGTGTTGTTTTAGACGGTAAAAGGTGGGATCTCTGAGACCCGAATTGAAAAGCGTATCGTTATTACTGGAGACACGGCCATCGATCACGACAAGGTGAGGAATAAATTCAAAGACCTGAAACATCTTCCACACATTCATTGTGTGTGTATCATTGGGAGCAGCTGTGGATGAGTGGTTTGAGCAGTCGTCCGCCAATTGGTGGATGGGGGAGTGGTGGCGCAGAGGTTAGAGAGGTGGGCCTGTGATCCGAAGATCGCCGGTTCACGCCCCGGCCCCGACAACATCAA